GCTATTCTGATTACATGCACTCAAGTTGCGTCATAAGTAGACAGCAGCCAATCACAGCCATCGAATCCCAACCGGCGAGGCGATATGCCTCAGCCACCGACTACAAACCGCCACAAAAGTCAATTCCCACGGTAAGAACATGCCACAGATGACAACGAGCATGCAGTAAAAGACGGAGGTACGATAAAATGTGCAAAATATTCCAGTGGATGGAAGACCCAAAAAAAACTCTTCATAGAAGAAACCATGGAAATACACCGAAAACCCAGGACGAAAACACAGTATTATTGAAAACAGAGACTACAAATCCGATTTTGTAGTCTTTTTGTAGTCTCCAATACAAGCGGACTTTAAAGCGGACATTACACAGTCTAGTCAAGACTACAACCAAAAAGTCGCACACATTCTCGGCATTTCGATTCCCACGGGGTACAACGTTCGGCATGCACCCAATTTTGCGGGTAAGGACTCATCCTTCATAAACTCAGGACTCGTAACAGGCAAGGGCCCATGTTGGAGAATGAAGAAGTCACACAGGTTGTGCTCGTACTGCTCCAGACTGTGTGATGGTTCTAACTTCATGTCGAATGACTGCATTAAATGTGCCACCACCATCCTCAAAGTGAGCAACGCGAAAGGCCTCCCGACGCAGTTTGCAGGTCCCGCAGAGAACGGGATGAAAGCATCCTCCCTAAGGGAACCCTCAGCACATCATTTAGATAGCCAACACTCTGGGATGAATTCCTCTGGTTGGGGTGAGAAATTCTTGGGGTCTCGATGCAGGACGTAAGAAGGTACGGAGACTCCTGTTCCTTCCGGAATGAACAGACTGCGGAAGGTCATCCCCAGTGAAAACCTACAATTTTCTCTAATATTGTGTTCTAATTGTGGTCTATTGCAGCTGAGGAGATAGCGGGCAATGGCTCGGAAACCACCCGATGGCCCCTTTAAAATACGTTGATATATTATGCTCTACCACCGCAAAGTTCCTCACGCAGCTCGATAGTCGCCAAATTCACTGTGCGGCAGGCCGCGTTAGTTACGGTCTTAGTAGCACTGACAAGTAGGACTAGTTGTGCTTGCATGACCAGCGCTAGATACACCCCGTAGATCAGCTCAAGCTGATACATGACTAGCACAGCTCGCCGTCCCGTTCACGAGCTCAAACAGTTACTAGGGTAGCCACTGCTGTCCAGTAGTAATCAGCTCGAATGGTACTCACATGGCCAGGGGTGACTAGTCCTGTCCATTCATTATATTTTTACCCTGACTAGCTCTGACTTCCTGTGATATTCCATGCTATATATCACCCGTGTATCTCATGTATTTATGTCCCGTTGATAAGCCTCAGGATTGTCTGACCCCCGAAAATGCGGACTCAGCGCATCGTACAGGCCCTCCGGAGCTTATTCGACACAGCGCTCACACGCCTCTAGGCTTCTATGGGCTCTAAAGACTTGCTCTGTTTTAGCTCCGGACTTCCTAGCATCCTCAAGGCGTACACGGACCCATTCAGCGATTTATCTCAGCGAACAGGAGCGCCGGAGTGACTTAACCAATGCAATGTCTAGATGAATTAGCTCTGGGGCCCGTGGGCACTTCTATCGAGGGGGATCGTCCTCATGCCCACCCTCCAGCACAATCCCTCTCTCGTTTCCATCAAAATACCGAAGGTGCGGATGCATACGAGTCACCATGAAGTCAGCATCAGTCAGCGAGCGGCCGGAGGTAATTAGCACGTGACCGGCGCATCGCATGGAGTGATGGGACCGCTTGGATCAGGTGGCAGAGCGTCAAGGCGACTTCTAGGGGTTGGGACGAGCAAGTAGGAGTGCAAGGGAGTCGTATGGTGCATGGTATAGCGGCGGCAAGTGCTGAGCAATCCTGTGGGTAGCGGCGGTTATTTGTTATTTATCTCCGGACGGTCGCAAAGCCATTCCTGTAGTATAAATTGTACAAAGTAGCGTACAGAAAAACAAGTTTCGACTTCACCATCTCAGAGAATTAGCATTACGATCTCAGCGACCCGAGAAGTTTGAAAGCGTCGAACTTAGCGAATTATAACCGATCCTAGCTTTGCCAATAGGCCTGACTCGTCGAGTGAATTATCTCCGCCATCGATTCAATTAGCTCCGGTGAGTCTCACATAGCGGAATAAAATTAAACAAGTCCTTTTAGTGTTTTCTACTCCCGTGGGCCCGAACCTACACTCGGTTCCGTGGTTTGTGACTTTGCTTGCGCCGTTTCGGAGATAAATACTCCGGAGCGTCCATTAGTGTTTGTTTC